CGGGTTGAAGATCTTGTCAGTATATGGATGTGGGTCGAAGAATATGTCTTATGATAGTGCAAATTTGACTACACCAGATATTAAGTGGCTTGGAATCAGGCCCAGTGATTTGGACAAGTATAAGATACCTGAACAGTGTAGGCTGCCAATGACTGAGCAGGATATTAAGACCGGGAAGGATATGCTAGAGGAAGATTTCGTGAAGAAAAACCCCGGGTGGGTTGAAGAACTTAACCTGATGGTGAAAACAAAGCAGAAGGCTGAGATTCAGGCGTTGAGCTCTTTTGGTTTCCAGTATTTATCAGAGGTTTACTTGCCCCTGAAACTGCAGCAACAGGATTGGCTCTGATCATCAGGTTGCTGTCTTCCTGTTCAATTAGAGACACCAACAAGTGCACGCTACAGATTTCGAGTTTCTGATAATGTAATTGCTTGTTTCCTAGCATGTGAATGGTTGCAACCGTTGGAATTTGGTTTGAATTTATGGTTTGAATCTACACAGAACTGGGAAGGTAGCTGATTAACCTTTAGATACAAAGGGAAAAAGAGCTCTTTTGTTTATTTAGAAGGTACACAATACTGTATGCGCATTGAGATTATATGCAATCTTTCCTTATTCTTTTCTGCAATTTAGTTTGAAAATTACTTTGAATTAGCATAGAATACAAAGATGATTGACTAGTCGGAAGCAGCTACTTTTTGCGCTGCAACCACTTATACAGAGACGCCTTTGTCACCATCAATCTCTCCAGAATCGCAGGTCTCCTTGTTGAGGATATACTAACAAGTGACGTAGTGGTCTCTAGCGTATGCACTGTATCTTGTTTTGCATCATCCACACAGTGTGCATCCTGTTTGATACTTTTTGGTCCAGCAGGAAGAACCACAAGAGACAATTCATCTTGTAGAAGCTTCACTAGCGCTTCTTTCACAGTAATCTCTTGCTTTCCTGAATCGGAATTTGCTTCACCGGTTCCTAGGATAATCAACACATCATCTATTACAACATCACCTGCAAAGGGAGATTCAGTTAGTTACAAGTGTGCTTTTTAGTCTCTATTGGCACAAACCTAAACCACATGTGATTTTAGTCCTACCCTAAGCTGCTTGTATGCTGTTCCGTTTGAAATGTTTACCGATTCAAAAAAGGTAATGCAAGAGAGAGAATGGTATTGGTCGAATCTTACCACGCATATAGTCTTCCTTGATCATTCGCAAAACTGCTAGAACAACAAGTCGAGCCTCAATCTGTAAATGGATGCAAAAGTTTGACATGGGCATATTGCTTAAGGAGTTGAATTGATAGGATTACAAGCGCACAAAATACTTCATTGTCTCCATTAACTTACCTTGGTAAGTCCTTGAAGGTCAATTGCAAGGTTTCCGGCTGTTCTCTCTTGCATGTGTGTAGCTACTTTTTCAATGAGTAGGCTTACAGGTCTCCCTGCATCTCCTTCTTGGTCGCTTACTTCTTGGCTCAGACCGTTTTCCTGTATGACTCCTTCGCACCACTCTTCAATAAGTTCCTTGAGAAAGTGATCGTTCGGTTTGTACCTGGAGTGTTGTGGTGTTGTTTGTGAGTAAAAAGGAATGCATCCTCACTTGTCTGAAGATGTGGAACCATCAAGAAGAGAAATAAAAGTAGACCATAAAAGTAAATTGTTCTTACCCTGCTTTTCGCATGTCCTGATATATGGCCAAGCATTGCCGCACTTCAAGTAAAGAACCATATTTGCTTCGTGCTTTAAGAAGTGTGTTATAAGTGACCTGAGAAACAACTTTCTGGACTGAGAAATGCTGAAAGAAATTGAGAAACGGCTTCCATGTCTTAGCATGCATTCCGTCAATTTAGACTAGTCAAATAATAGCTTCAGGACTTTATATGCAAAATTTTGTACACAGCACTGATAATTCCAGTCTTCTGATTCTCTCTGAGGGTTAAAGTTTACAGCATTAAAGGGAACTTCATATATGGAGGAAGTTAGTAGCTGAAAGGGACAAAAAGAAACAAAGCCAATTCGAGCAGGAGAATTACCCAGTTTGGCTTTATCTGATATCTCCTCATCTCCTCAAATAAAGAAAATGCCAACTTCAAACTTTTATTTTCCGCACAAATCTGCAAGATAATAAGGATTGTACTTTCAAACCTTTGAGTTGAGCAATAATTAAGAACAAAGCAGAAATGTTGGCACCACTAAGAGAGATATTAATACCTTGATTGCTGTTGTGTAGGCAACAACATCAGGTCTGGTTCCAGCCGAATGCATAGTTCTCAAAATCTGTGCTGGAAAAAGAATGTCTATCAGGGAACTTATCACATACTGCGTTAATCCCACAAATGATACTATAAATGCATATGGAAGCTTATAAACAGAAGCTGGAGAAGTATGATCACCTTAATGCTATATCTTTGTTTAGGAAAGAGATTTGAATAAATAATTTCAATAAGCTCAAGAGAAAAGTTAACTCACCCGTACCGCACCTTCTACATCGCCTGAACCACCACACATATCGATCAAAGTCGACCATGTTATTTGATTTGGTGCAAGACCTAGGCTCTTCATCTCATCCATCAATTCTTTTCCTCGATAGTAATCGGTACCACAGGCTTTCAAGAGTATATTATATGTAGCAGTTGTTGGCTTGAAGCAAAATCTATTTGAAGCTTGGATATAAGGTGAATTAGAATTGCTATTCACCAAAGACCCAGGACCATGATTTTTCAATCTATTTTGGCTGGAAATGCCACCTTTACTATCATCTACATATAAAGCTTCCTTAACTGTGCTCCCCTTCCAAGATTGAAAAAGACGAAAAGCTCGGTCATACTGGCAAGCTTCAACGCAAGCATGCAGTAGGATGTTGAAACATTGAGAATTAGGCTCACAACCAGATGCAAGCATTTCTTCAAATAGGTGATTTGCCTGCTCTACTAAACCTGCATTGGCACAGGCGCTAATTAATGACGACCATGTATGAGTATTTGGGGTTACACCAACAGATTTCATATCATCTTTGACTTTGAGTGCCCATTTCCACATCTTTGCATCTGCAAAAACCTGATCTTAAGGCATTATTCAGAGACTCAGGGGATACAAAAGCAAAAAAAATGATAACCTTAATTTCCTAAAAAATGATGATAACCTTTATAATAGTACAATACGTAAAGGCATCCAACTTCAACAATCCGGAAGATTCCATTCGTTTTGCTTCTTTGTATATATCCTGGGCAAGATCAACCCGTCCAGCCAGGCAACATGTTTTCAGTAGTATGTTGTAGGATGTCATGTCAGCTGTAACTTCAAGTTTCTGCCCATGACATGTAGAGTTTCAAGGTCAGTCCATACCCACTCCTAAATCGAAAATACTATCTAGACAGTTCAGATACTTGTATTGAAGAGACAGAAAAAAGAACATACCTTCATATCCTTGTATACTTTTAGTGTGTACCCAAGATCATGGGAATTAACATTCATTAGACTGTTCATAACATAAATATTTGGCTTAATGTTTTCTTTGAGAAGATCCTGCCACAAGATTATGAATTAACTACAAATCTCAAATGCAGGATGGCAGACAAAATCGAGCGTAAAGGATAGTTATGCAAAACATCCAGTATAATCAGGGGATTACCTCATATATGTACCTCGATTTAACGTAATCCCCACACAGGCCACAAACATCTATCATAGTGCGGCATATATACATGTTAGGAGTATCCAAAATCTGTTTACAGGCTTCATATGCTGTCATAACAGAGACCATATCTCCTTTCTTTCCGAAACCATGAATAATTCTACAAAGCAATATCTCTGTATGCGGCAAAAGACATGCGTATCTGCATTCCATATTCATCAAATCGTTATCAGCACACTATATTCAGCAATCTCGTGGTTACTTTCTGAATTTCAAAACCATTAACCTGAATCGTTATGTGGGGAGTGTAAACAAGCCTTACCTAATAGCTAATTGAGGATTGGAAACGTCAACACAACTCTTTACAACATCAAAAGGATCCACCAGCTCTTTGATTTTGAATCCGAGACCTGAAATAAGAAGCAGCCACTCAATTCAAGAGTTCAATCAAAGTCTAGTCTAAAATCACAGTGTAACAGCAAGATTGATATAGTATTTACCGGCAAGAATCTCCATTAGGTCAATAGCTTTCTCCACTTGCAAAGAGTTAGCCATTGCACGAAACTGTTTCCTCATTAGTTTCACAGACGTTTCATCGACAAGGTCCAATGGAGCAATCCCTACCTTCTCAATTCTCTTCAAAGTGTAAACAACGCTCTCAATCTTACCTTGTCGAAGATTCGACGAAATCCCTTTCGATAAGAGATCATAATCAACCATGGAAGCGAAACGTGCCACATTAGTTCCGGACTCTGCAGCCAAAGTCTCGGCGATGAGAGCGACGTCCTCAATTCGGCCATCCTCAGCGAGCTTCGAGGCGAAATCAGCGTAATACTCCAACGAGCCATCTGGAATCCATCTTACGACCTTAGAGAAGTGATTAGAGAGAGAATGACTCGCGGAAACTGGAGCAGGAGAAGGTGAGTGTTGCTGCGGTAGTGACGGAAGTAGCTTGGTGAAAGAAGAATTGGATTTAGTTTTTCGGTTTGGCTCTGGTGCTGTGGCGTAACAGCGACGGTGGTGATGGTGAGGATTAGTTATTGCGGAGGAGGAGCCAAAGACGATGACAAGGTCTCTCATTCCTCGCCAACGGTTGGAATCATCATCATCATCATCAGTGTGGCTCAGTTTTTCTGGTTTTCTATTTTTTTTTTTTCTTCATGTAAATTAAATGGATTGGATTTGAAAGGCTATTTTTACAACTCCCGAACCGGACCGGATTTGTCGTGTTAAAATACACCGGTATGTCTAAACCGATTTGGTACTTTGATTATAAAACATTTAAGAAATATAAAAAGAAAAAGGAGAAAAAATGGATGGCCTAAAATTGCAAGTGAAGCGTCTCCACATATTTGACACCAACTTTTTGCCCGCCATGTGGATATCGTCGTCATTTCTCTCTCTAACCCCTTCTCTCTTCACTCTCTCTCTCTAGACGATCGCTATCTTGAATAAAAAAGACGATATGACTTCAAGCAATCCGGTGGTCGCCGAAGTACTACCGTCGGAAACTTCTACAGATGCTACAGAGACGACGTTGACAACGACGGAAGCTGGGGAAGCACCGGAGAAGAAGGTGAGGAAAGCTTACACAATCACCAAGTCTAGAGAGAGTTGGACTGAAGGCGAACACGATAAGTTTCTGGAAGCTCTTCAATTGTAATTTTACTTTCTTCCACCAGCAATTTGGTTTACTGTTTCTGTGCGTTTCTGGAAGCTCTAATTTTAGCTGAATTTTGCGTAATTTCGCTTAATTTGCTTCATCTATGATAAATTATACTACTTGATCCGTGAAGTTGGCCCATTTGTTAAAATGTTATGTTAGGGTTGATAAAGTGATAAACTTTTATCAGATCGAAGTTTGGTTATGTGGTAGATTCATCTGGAGTTTTTGCCTATGTAACTGGATTCTGCAGAAGCAACAATGTCTTTTTTGATTGGTTAGGTTAGATTGTATATTAGATAGACCAGAGTTTATATTAATAGCTGATGAATGTTTTTTCTCATAAACCCGAAGTATAGCTTAAGCATATTTTAGGTTGCCAAAATGATTCAATAGAGAGGACTTGGCATCTGGTTTCTGCATAAAAAGTGGGATTCTTCAGAAATCGTATCTTTCTTTATTGAAAATATTCAACATGAGAACTGAAAAAGCTTCATACAAGTCAGCTTTTTGAGCTATGCATGAAACCAATTTCCAATAAGTCCTAAACTACAGGTCAGAATTTGGTAATGGATCGTTACTTCCAAATGTTACATTGCTCTTTTGTGTGTGAAAGGCTTCTCTCTCTTTTTCTGAAAAAGAATCTTACTTTGTTGCTGACAATTTTCTTGTGTCCTTAGGTTTGATCGTGACTGGAAAAAGATAGAAGATTTTGTTGGTTCAAAGACAGTCATTCAGGTTTGAGATCAGCTTCTTTGGATTTTTGGTTTAATATACAACCTTGGCACACTTCTCCACTCAATCTTCCTGTGCCTGTTTGATTTACTGCAGATCAGGAGCCATGCCCAAAAATACTTTCTAAAGGTCCAGAAAAATGGGACTTTAGCACATGTGCCACCCCCTAGGCCTAAGCGCAAAGCTGCTCATCCATATCCTCAAAAGGCATCGAAGAATGGTTAGTTCTATTGTAATAGATATTACTTTGGGTGGACAGATGGAGTAACATTTAATTAATCTGAGTTCAACTCAAATCTGCAGCTCAAATGTCGCTACACGTTTCCATGTCCTTTCCTACTCAAATAAATAACCTGCCTGGATATACTTCATGGGATGATGATACCTCTGCATTGCTAAACATAGCCGTAACTGGGGTTATTCCACCAGAAGATGAACTTGAACTTGATACCCTTTGTGGAGCAGAAGGCATGCGTTCTCATCTGTACTCAGTTTTTGTGTTTTGTTTTGGTATTCGAGTTACTCTATCTGCTGAAGTGTCATATGCTAAATGCGGCTTACAATATCATTGTTTCAGTTGTTGTTGGATCAAATGGCATGATAAGTGAAACTAGTCCTTCAGCATCTGGTATTGGAAGCTCAAGCAGAACACTATCAGATTCTAAGGGTTTAAGAGTGGTGAAACAAGCTCCCTCAATGCATGGTAATTATCTGAACAATTGAGGGACTATTTCTGAGTTTTCATTTTATGGTGGACACTGTTATAATGGTTGCTTTGCAGGTCTTCCTGATTTTGCTGAGGTTTATAACTTCATTGGGAGTGTCTTCGATCCTGACAGCAAAGGCCGCATGAAAAAGCTCAAGGAAATGGATCCTATAAATTTTGAAACTGTGAGTTGGAGCTTACTTGCCTTTAGATTAAATGATGTGTGTGGCAGCATATCCATCATTTATGCTTCTACTTGAATGAGGCTTCTTCTTTGAGCTCCCTTTCTGCTACCGTACTTAGGCTTTTTGGTGTTTCCAACTCGTGAATCTATATCTTCTCTTACAGCTGAATTTAATAAAGGATGTATCTATAGATTCCGTTTCAAAATTTGATTGGTACCATGATTCTATGGAGATGTTGGTCCAATAATGGGGTTTTACAATCATGGGTCAGTTTTTAGGTGTCATGGTACCTATTTGTAGCTGTCAGTGATTGTTCTTTTTCCAGTATCCGTCACTAATCACAGTTTGTCTTTCAGGTTCTGCTGTTGATGAGAAACCTCACAGTGAACTTGTCAAACCCTGACTTCGAACCTGCTGTAAGTGTTAATTTTATCATTACTCTGTGATCGTTGAGCATGTGAGGCACATTTGTCTTTTCGTGTTAAGACTGAGTGGAAAAAAGTCTCTTACAGCTAACAGATCTACTGACTATCTGCCTTGAAATTTAACTAAAGAATTTAAAACTAGTTCGCCCTTAGTTTGTGTTACTTCTTTAACCACTCCAATGATTAAATGAAGATTGTTGTGCTCTTTGAGATATATATCTCTTATATTCACACATCAACTGTTGGTTCTGGATTTATTTCTTGGAACAAATGTAATCTAACCATAACTTAGTCTGAATATGTTGATGCTGCAGAGGAAGGTCATGAACACTTGAGCTCTTAGCTGTTAGTGCACTCAACAAGTTATATATCTTCTTGACGAATTCTTGCTTGCAACAACTGTCTACCAGCTATCAAGTAAGTGTGGTTTTATATCTCACCCTCCAACACCAATATAAAATCACTTTGGTATAATAAGAACGTTGGTATTGACTTAATAACATTATATCGAAGCCTAACACCACAGTTCTCTAAGGTTTTCACCCTAGTGTTCCTCATCTGTAGATCATAACTGTTAGAATCTCAGCTTAGCTGCTATTATTCTGATTACACTTCCCTTAAGGTTTTAAAACTATGGCTCTTACAGTCTCACCAAACTGCTATCTAATCTCTGTATATGGTGATTGTGTCAGATGCTTCTTACGGTTGTTGTCTGAGGAGAACATAACTGAGTCGTCGTCGCAAACAAAAGGAACATATGCAGTTTCGGTCAGAACCAGTCGAGTGAATGGTAGATATATGTATGTGTGTGTAGAAAATGGTTACCAATTGTATCTTCTTTTTGATAATTATTTGTTCATGCGTTTTGTAATATGTAAGTTTCTCTACCTCTTCTTCTGATTGGTTAAAAAAGCTATGTAAGGCACTAGCAAATTGTTACTTAACTCATAAGTGAGATACATAACTATGTTGTATTGTTCTTTGTATCAAGCGTTAACGTCCAGGTTTTGTCTCTGTTATAACAACAATTCATCGAAAACCACTAAACTAATTAGGAAATTGAACCGTGTTGGTATGGTTTTGGAGGGTCTTTAGAACCTTCTAATTGATGCCGAAGGTTTGCGAAGTCTGTATAAAACAGATAAGAGAGGCTTCTTCTCTTAAATTACCTTGGATTTAAGAGATTCCTTCGCCGTCGGCGAAGATGCTACAGCATCAGATCGTACAATCTCCGGCGAGATTAGGGCTAACAGGTCCTGGTTCTCCCTCCGTACAAAATCCAACGCCTACTCGTCATGGCCATCCAACCTCTTCTTCATCTTCCCAATCTCAGCATCAACAGATCCAACAACAACCTAATCTACTCCCTTCCTCCACCGTCGCCGCCGCTTCCTCAGCCTCAGCTGCATCGGCTATTTCATCCTCCGCTTTGCTATCTCTCCTTCCTCCATTACCGCGAGCTCAAGCTCTTCTCCAGCAGATGGCGGTTTTGACGTCTAAGCTCTTCGACGTATCTCCCAATCGAGCTCTCTGGCTCTCAGCTTTCCGTGGCTCTCTCCCTTCGTTCCTCTCCTCACACTCGTTACCACCGCCTCCGCCGCTTGAAAATCCTAATCCTTCATCCACGAAGGAGATCCTCTCTCAATTCAATTCCCTCCAGACTCAGCTCTTCGAAGCCGTGACAGAGCTTCAAGAGATCCTCGATCTGCAGGACGCGAAGCAGAAGGTCGCGCGTGAGATCAAATCCAGAGATTCATCTCTTCTCGCGTTCGCTAACAAACTCAAGGATGCAGAACGTGTTCTCGATATGCTTGTTGAGGATTACTCCGATTATCGCAAACCAAAACGAAGCAAAATTGTGAGTGAAGAAGAAGAAGACAATGATAATGAGTCTTCTTCTTCTTCGACCACAGTTTCGTCTCAGCTCAAGCTAAAGGACATTTTAGCTTACGCTCACAAGATTAGCTACACCACATTTGCTCCACCGGAATTTGGTGCAGGGCAAGCACCTCTCCGTGGTGCATTACCACCAGCTCCACAAGACGAACAAATGAGAGCTTCTCAGCTCTATGCTTTCGCCGATCTTGATATCGGTCTGCCGAAAACAGTAGAAAACATGGAGAAGAAGGTTGAAGCACTCATTGAGCCACCACCACCACCACCAGAAGCTATGGATATCTCTGCAATTCATAACCTGCTTCCGCCGAATATCGCAGTTCCTTCAGGATGGAAACCAGGAATGCCAGTCGAATTACCAAGAGATTTACCATTGCCACCTCCTGGATGGAAACCAGGTGACCCGGTTGTGTTACCGCCATTGGAGTCAATTGCTGCACCTAGAGCGGAGGATCAGCAGCATATGCGACCTCCTCAGGGACTTCACAGACCGCCTGATGTCATACAGGTCCGAGCTGTTCAACTTGACATCTTGGAGGATGATGATAGCAGTGATTACAGCAGCGATGATGCAAGCTCAGATGACGAGGATTGATCAACATTGTAATTGATGATGCACTCTACTAAGGTAATAATTGACCAATGTTACTGCTAATTCTTGATCAAGTTTGAGTGAAATTTTCTACTTGGTTTTGTTTTGTTTTAGCAATGTCTTTATGTGGATAGATGTTAAGTAGTATATGCTTCATCGTTATCAGTATCTTTGATGTATCAAGATTGTTTCTTACGAAACCCTGGATTCTAATTCAGTTTACAGAGTTATTGGTCATCTTTTTTCTAAGTATTTTTGAAGAAAGTTGGATTGTTGTAAATCTTGTTTCAACAATAACACAGGTGAAATTTCCAAATTATAGTAAAATTCAGAATGTTCAACTGGTTATGCAACTTGATGACATTTTGGATCGATCTCCTTACAAAGTAAAATCCCTCTTAGGTCACACATACTCAAAACACATGTGTCTTAAGGCCTCTTTCTGCCAAGATCCGGCCCGTTGAAGTATTAGCCCATTTAGATATAACCTGTTGAATCCGGACTAGCCACGTGGTTAAATTGCCCACTCCTGTAAATAAAACTAAAATTGTGTTCTTGGAATAAAAAATATAATTAAAAAAATCTGACAAAAATATCCATTCATTTCTTCTCTTCTTCACTCTCGCTTCCTCCTGGTTTTCTTCTAGTTTCTACTACTACTACCTCTAATGGCGGACAAGCTAGCTCTTCCTCTTCTCCTTCCCTGTACTCCTTCCTCTAAACCTTATTCTCACGACCAAAACCACCATCTCTCTCGAACCCCCTTTCTTACGACGTCACTTTCGTCACCACCTCCTCCGCCTGTAGAACCTCTCCTCCACGATGTTTTCCTTCACCAGAACCCTAATTCCAGACAACCCATCACCTCTCAAACATCTAGAAACCGTAACCGGACACGAATTGGTAAGTCACGCGACCCTAACCTCGGGAAACCTTGGTCTTATCATGGTCTTTCTCCACAAGGTCAGCAAGTTCTACGTTCCCTCATCGAACCAAATTTTGATTCCGGTCAATTAGATGCTCTACTCTCTGAGCTATTCGAGCCGTTTAAGGATAAACCAGAGTCTACCTCGTCGGAGTTACTAGCTTTTCTTAAAGGATTAGGATTCCATAAGAAATTCGATTTGGCTCTTTGTGCTTTTGATTGGTTTATGAAGCAAAAGGATTATCAATCCATGTTGGATAACTCTGTTATTGCTATAGTTATCAGTATGCTAGGTAAAGAAGGCAGAGTATCTTCCGCTGCAAATTTGTTCAATGGTTTGCAGGAAGACGGGTTTTCGCTTGATGTCTACTCTTATACTTCGTTGATATCAGCGTTTGCTAATAGCGGAAGGTACAGGGAAGCTGTAAATGTGTTCAAGAAGATGGAGGAAGAAGGTTGTAAACCGACTTTGATCACTTATAATGTTATTTTGAATGTATTTGGGAAAATGGGCACTCCTTGGAATAAGATTACGTCTCTCGTGGAGAAGATGAAGAGTGATGGGATTGCTCCAGATGCGTATACCTATAACACGCTTATAACTTGTTGTAAACGAGGCTCTTTGCATCAGGAAGCTGCTCAGGTTTTCGAAGAAATGAAGGCTGCAGGGTTTAGTCATGATAAGGTTACTTACAATGCGCTATTAGATGTTTATGGAAAGTCTCATCGGCCTAAGGAAGCTATGAAGGTTTTGAATGAAATGGAGCTCAATGGATTTTCTCCGAGCATTGTGACTTACAACTCCCTGATCTCTGCATATGCAAGGGATGGCATGCTGGATGAGGCAATGGAGCTTAAGAATCAGATGGCGGAAAAGGGAACGAAACCTGATGTTTTCACTTACACAACACTTTTGTCGGGGTTTGAGAGGGCTGGGAAGGTCGAATCTGCTATGAATATTTTTGAAGAGATGAGAAATGCAGGGTGCAAACCAAATATTTGTACTTTTAATGCCTTTATAAAGATGTATGGTAACAGGGGAAAGTTTGTTGATATGATGAAGATATTTGATGAGATCAACGTGTGCGGTCTCTCCCCCGACATTGTCACTTGGAATACACTATTAGCAGTCTTTGGCCAAAATGGGATGGATTCAGAAGTATCAGGTGTATTCAAGGAAATGAAGAGAGCTGGTTTCGTACCCGAAAGGGAAACTTTCAACACCCTAATCAGTGCGTATAGCCGCTGTGGTTCGTTTGAACAAGCTATGACTGTTTACAGGCGAATGCTTGATGCTGGGGTCACTCCTGACCTTTCCACCTATAACACTGTATTGGCAGCTTTGGCCCGTGGAGGAATGTGGGAACAATCTGAGAAGGTTCTTGCAGAGATGGAGGATGGCCGGTGCAAACCGAATGAGTTAACCTACTGCTCTCTACTTCATGCATATGCAAATGGCAAGGAGATAGGTCTGATGCATTCTTTAGCAGAAGAGGTCTATTCTGGAGTTATCGAGCCTCGAGCTGTGCTTTTGAAGACCCTTGTCTTGGTTTGTAGTAAGTGTGATCTTTTGCCAGAGGCTGAACGTGCATTCTCTGAGCTGAAAGAAAGAGGGTTTTCACCAGACATTACCACATTAAATTCCATGGTCTCCATATATGGAAGAAGGCAGATGGTGGGAAAGGCGAATGAAGTCTTGGACTACATGAAAGAAAGGGGTTTCACACCAAGCATGGCAACCTACAATAGCCTCATGTATATGCATAGTCGGTCTGCGGATTTCGGGAAATCAGAGGAGATCTTGAGGGAAATACTGGCTAAGGGGATCAAGCCAGATATCATATCATACAACACAGTCATTTACGCCTATTGTAGAAATACTCGGATGAGGGATGCATCTAGAATATTCTCAGAGATGAGGGATTCAGGGATTGTCCCTGATGTTATCACCTACAATACGTTTATTGGTTCTTATGCGGCTGACTCAATGTTTGAGGAGGCCATCGGCGTCGTTAGGTACATGATCAAGCATGGTTGTAGACCAAACCAGAACACCTACAACTCCATTGTAGATGGTTACTGCAAGCTAAACAGGAAAGATGAGGCAAAACTGTTTGTCGAAGATCTGAGGAATCTTGATCCACATGCTCCCAAAGGCGAGGATCTCAGGTTGCTGGAACGGATAGTGAAGAAGTGGCCATAGATAATTGTTGATCAGAAACCTCACAGTGAACTTGTCAAACCCTGACTTCAAATCTGCTGTAAGTGTTAATTTTATCATAACTTCCATGCTCGTTGAGCTTGTGAGGCACCTTTCTATCTTTTCGTGTTTAGATTTAGAGAGAAAAAGTCTCACTATGTGCCTTCAAGTGTAAATTGGGATACACTGTTAGAAATAAGAATATTTCGCTGTTAGAGTGTTACATCCGTAGCCATTCCAATGACTGAAGGAATATCGTTGACCTTAGTGATATATGTAGACACATCAACTGGTGACTTCTGGATTGATTTCAATCTAACCTCAAAATAGTCTGAACACTTTGTTGCTGCAGAGGAAGGTTCTGAACACTTAAGCTTGTAGCTGTTAGTGCAGGATCCGTGGTGAAGAACTCAACAAGTGATATATCTTCTTGGTGACCCATAGTAAGAATTGTCTCTGCATAAGAGCTAAATGTTCCTCAGTTCTCACTTTAGTTACCATTTCGCATGATCTTTAACTTAAGCTTTTGTATTGACACTATTAGAATCTCAGCGTAGCTGCTATAAGCCTGATCATGTTCTTTAAAGAGTTATTATGGATCTTACCTAATGGCTATTTAATCTCTGCATTAGGCGTATTTTGTCAGATGCTTCTCACCATTGTTGTCTGAGAAGAGCATAACTGAGGCGTCACAAACAAGAGGGACATATGGCAGTATCGGTCAGAACCAGTTTTTCCGGGGAATAGTATATATATGAGTCAATGTGCGTGTAGAAAATGGTTACAAATGGTATTTTCTTTTGTTCATGTGTTTTGTAGTTTCTCTGATTTGGTTATCTATTTAACCAAAAGCAATGTAACACAGCTAGCAAACCAAGGCAGCTAACAGTGAGATACATAATGTCAACGTCCATGTTTTGTCTTGAGCCTTTTTGTTGTTCTTGTTGTCAATAACCAATATCCCAAAACCCGGTTAACAATAGTCGGGAAACCGAACCGTATTGGTGGATCCTATCAAATCAAAGCAAACCAAAACAGATAAATCCAATAGAAGCAAATCAGAGCTAAACCGATAAGTAGTAACTTGAAATTCTACTGGACCTAATTGGGCCTTTCAGCCTGTATATACTTCCACTCCAACAATTTACGGTAATACCCTTGCAAAAAAACCCTAATTTATAATGTGCTTTAAAAGCACACAGCCTCACTCACAAACCCTTCGTTTCCAGCCAAAAAATCGAAAATGGTTGCCTCAGCCGCCGCACGACCCCTCGTCACCGTCCAATGTCTTGACGGTGACATGAGCACCGATCAATCCACCACCGTCACTTTACCTGACGTCATGACTGCTCCCGTTCGACCAGACATCGTCAACTTCGTCCACGCTCAAATCTCCAACAATAGCCGTCAGCCTTACGCAGTCTCCAAAAAGGCCGGTCACCAAACCTCTGCCGAGTCATGGGGAACCGGAAGAGCCGTGTCTCGTATCCCTCGTGTTCCCGGTGGTGGAACTCACCGCGCCGGTCAAGCAGCGTTCGGTAACATGTGTCGTGGTGGTCGTATGTTTGCTCCGACTAAGATCTGGAGACGCTGGCACCGTCGTGTCAATGTCAACATGAAGAGGCACGCGATTGTTTCTGCAATCGCCGCTACTGCTGTTCCAGCTCTTGTGATGGCTCGTGGTCACAAGATCGAGAACGTTCCTGAAATGCCTCTTGTTGTTAGTGATTCAGCTGAAGCTGTGGAGAAGACATCAGCTGCGATCAAGGTATTGAAGCAGATCGGTGCTTACGACGATGCAGAGAAAGCTAAGAACAGTATTGGAATTCGTCCTGGTAAAGGTAAAATGAGGAACCGTCGTTACATTTCTAGGAAAGGTCCTCTTGTTGTGTATGGAACTGAAGGAGCCAAGATTGTGAAAGCTTTTAGGAATCTTCCTGGTGTTGAGCTTTGTCATGTTGAGAGACTTAACTTGTTGAAATTAGCTCCTGGTGGTCACCTTGGTAGGTTTGTGATTTGGACTAAGTCAGCTTTTGATAAGCTTGAATCTATCTATGGCTCGTTTGAGAAACCATCAGAGAAGAAGAAGGGTTACGTCTTACCTCGTTCGAAGATGTTGAATGC